ATCAGTGAGTCTGTCAATAAGTCAGTCTGTGAGCCAGTCACTGTGTCAGAGTCAGTCAGTTGGTGAGTCAGACAAAAATGGTAAGTGAGTCAGTCAGACACTCAGCTTGTGGCCAGTCAGTGAGAGTGTCAGCGAGTCATGCCAGTCCAGAAATTCGTAAACTTTCTTACCTCTTCGAAGCCCATCCTGTCCTGAAGCTTCGGAGGGACGAACAGCAACTCCGAAGGTTGCATTCTGTGGTCAACTGCAGGGAAAAAAGAGGCTATTTCAGAAACACTGAAACACCATGTTCTCCTAGGTGTGTTCAGGCATTAGAAAGACTAGAAGAAATGAGTGATGGAGGAGAGGAGGACGCAAAGCTTGTGTGTCTTACTGAGTGCCTCGGTGACGGTGTGAGTGAAACTCTCTTCTTCATCTTCTACACTCTGATGGGCCTTCAGAGGAATGGGCAGGAAGCCATAGTGCTCCCTGTTACACACATGCATCTGAACATCTACACACACACACACACACACACAAACACACAGCTCAGCTCATCATGTTTGGAAAAGGAAGGGTTGTGCATATGATCCCAAGAACACAGTGAAGCATGAAGGTGGGAGCATCTGAAGCTGCTCTTCTCTGCAAACAATACTGAGCATTGCACACCAGAATGAATGGAGTGATGGACATATTAGGACATATTGGTGAGTTGAAGACGATTTGCCAAGAGGAATGGACCAAAACTGAACCCCAATCCTGCAGAAAGCCAATTATTTAAGCCAACATCTTGAAGCTGTTATTGCCAACAATGGTTTTACCAACAATACTTGCTTCCTCTCACTGTACGCTGCAAATGAAATATATTTTAGCATGCTGACATTTGATGTTACCATCAATTATTTCAATACATTCTTAATGCTATTATAAAAAAAAAACATTGTCTTCGGTTGGGCCCCACTCTTCTCCATCATCATCATCATCACCATCATCATCATCATCATCATCAACACTTTTATTTATATAGCGCCTTTCCCATGCTCAAGGACGCTTTACAATCAGAAAATATCAACATAGTATACATAACACAGAACACATACACACACACACACACACACACACACACACTCCACGGTTCACACAGCTAGTGGGGGGGATTTCACTGGCCACAATATAAAGTCACTTAGGTAGTCCGGAAAGAGTCCTTGGCCACGGGGGGAAAGTCTCACACTGCAACTATGGTGCATCACACAGGAGGCCCGGGAAGCCTCGAAGGCCGAACATGTCCTTAGCCATGAAGGGGTAGCATTTTCTTGCAGCTGAGCTCCACCAGACCAGTCCAGGCAGCCTCCTAGCTGCGATGTAGCGTCGCTTAGGCTGCCGGCCCGAGAGGCCTCGTAGCTGCGGCATAGCGCTGCTCATGTAGCCGGACATTACCAGTCCAGGCAGCCCCGCAGCTGCAGTGCAGCGTCAACCAGGCAGCCAGCCCAGGCCGTGATGTCATGTCGATCAGGTCCTCAGTCCAGAGAGACTCGCAGCCACGATACAGCATCACTCTAGTGGCCGGTCCAGGCTACATCATAGCTGTGATGTAGAGTTACCCAAACAGCCAGCCCTCGACCGCTATCTCGGTGGATATGATTCCTTCCTAGACATTTTTCAATTACCAATAGGATTTTGTACATGTACTGTATATAGTGTGCCCATAGGATATAAGACTGATTAGAAAGCAAGGATGCACAGATTTTTGGTTCCATGTGGCTTTATGGACAAAGTTTAAAGAAGTTTACATTGCTAGTTGGATGTTGTACTTTATACACTGTATAACATTTGGGAGTTCAAGGGTTAACTAGAGTGGAAGTTCACAGCAAGGAACGTTTTTTTGTACTTGCTTTAAAACTTCTGAGTTAGCTCATTTGATAATTAGCTGAGGAGCTGAGTGAGGCGTGTTACAGTAGGAAAAACACTGCTGCGCAGTTTCTGCTGCTGCAGTTTGTGTGGGTACAGTAATAGGGAACTCTAATGAAGCATTAGTGTTTTGACTGGTGTCTCCGTATGGCCTGATTTACCTCACAGCTATTTGTGTGTGTGTGTGTGTGTCCTACTGCAGTAATGATGTCTGCCTCCAGTCGAGTTACAACACACACACACACACACACACAGCATTCATCATTTTAAGTATTTTATTTATACCATCAAAATTACAGTATACTATTTCAAGGCATGAAATGATGGGGAGTTAATCCACAGATGACATCATCATTAAATCAGCAGCCTGTTCACATTACAATCACTTCACACACACACACACACCAAAATACACACTGGAGTGGGACCACAGATCCAGATTGTGACACACACACACACACACAAACCCAAGTTCTAGAATGTGGTCACTGTTCTAGAATATGGTTAAAAATCTAGAATTATCTGTCTTACACACATACACAGCACAGTTCTAGAATAGCACTACTATACTCACACAACACATACACATGCACACTAAAACCCAGTTCTGGACTGCAGTCAATGTTCTAGAATATGATGACTCATCTAGAATCTTCCACACAAATACAGCCATACACACACACACACACACACACACACACACACACACACACACACAAACAGTAGTTTGTGACCACAGTAAAACATGAGAACTGTCTGACCTGCTTGGCGGGCAGAAAAGGCGAACACCATGATGTCGTCGAAGGCCCAGCTGTAGTCTGGATGGGGGGGATAGAAGGCGAGTGATCTGGAGGAGGAGCGTCTCAGATCCAGCAGGAAGGTGGAGTGAACCATCGGAACAGCAAAACAACCCAAACGCTTCCACTCGCGGATGGGCTGATAATCTGGAGTACGCTTATAGTAGCCCTAAAAGAGAGAGAGAGGAAACTTCATTTAATAACTAACATTGGAGGAGGATCAAACACATATACAACTTTGTTTCCTAAAAAGTTTGGACCCTGTGCAAAATAAAGAAAGAGAACAGAATGAAATGATATGCTAATCAATTAAACCCTGTATTAACTGAAAATAGTGAGGATCACATATCAACTAATACTAATAAATGTTATTGTTTTTCCAAAAATATATGCCCATTTTAAATCTGATATCAGCAACACTTTTCAAAAAGATGGGACAGGGGCAACAAAAGACTTGTAATGCTAAAAAAAAACACCTGGTGGAACATCTCTCATCTAATAAGGTTAATTAGCATCAAGTCAGTAACATGATTGGGTATAAAAGAGCGTCTCAGAGAGGCTGAGTCTTTTAGAAGTTCACCACTCAAGGGACATGGCCGAAAACCAACACTGGCTGGCCGCGCACTTCGGGCCCTCAGGCAGCGCTGCATTAAAGCAGACATGATTTTGTAGTGGAAATGGGCTCAGGACCACTTCTGAAAACCACTGTCTGTGAACACAGTTCATCACTGCATCCATAAATGCAAGTTAAAACTCTACCATGCAAAGAAGCATCCAGAAACGCTACCGTCTTCTCTGGGCCCGAGCTTAGATAAGATGTACTGAGGTGAAATGGAAAAGTGTCCTGTGGCCTGACGAATCAAAATTTTAAAGGCTTTTTGGAAATCATAGACGCCTCGTCCTCTAGGTTAAAACAAGAGAGGGACCATCCAGCTTGTTATCAGTGCACAGTTCAAAAGCCAGCATCTGTCATGGTATAGGGGTGCATTAGTGCACATGGCATGGGTGATTTGCACATCTGTGAAGGCACCATTAATGCTGAATGATATAAACAGGTTTTGGAGCAGCATATGCTGCCATCCAGACGACGTCTTTTTCAGAGAAGGTCTTGCTTATTTTAGGAAGACAACGTCAAACCATATTCTGCATGTATTACAACAGCATTGCTCCGTATTAAAAGAGTCCAGGTGCTAAACTGGCCTGCCTGCAGTCCAGACCTGTCACCACTGAAAACATTTGGTGTATTATAAAATTAAAAACACAACAAAGGAGACCCCGAACTGTTGAGCAGCTGAAATCCTATATCAAACAAGAATGTGAAAACATTTCATTTTCAAAACTACAGCAGTGTCTCCTCAGTTCACAAATGCTTACATTGTTGCTAAAAGAAGAGTTGATGAAACACAGTGGTAAAAAAGATTTGCACATCATTGCATTCTGTTTTATTTATGTCTTGAACAGGGTCCCAGCTTTTCAAGAGGGCTTGGAGTCTTCTGTGCAGAGGTACTGGGAGCTGGGGTAGAAAAAAACTGGGACATCTGAGGGCTGGTTTGAGAACCACTGCTTTAAACAGTGCCAAAAACAATCCAGCTATTTTAACTGAATTTGCTATTTCTACACATATTGTGTGTTTTAAAGCATCTTTAGGGCATAAATGTGCTATTAATAGTAAATTTGAGCTTATTGTTTTGAAATCTCAGAAGGTTTTAGGAATTGCTTGAAAAAACAAAAAACACTGCAATATGATGAAAAATTTGGGCTGTGGATGTGTGGATGTGTCTCTACCTGAGGAGTGATTCCACACCAGAAGTTGGAGTAGAGAGAACGTGATTCTAACATGGGAGCCACGAGGGTCAGATTCTCCGCCATCATCAGATCCAACACCCGTGGGTTTGTTAAGAGGTTATCACTGTCTGCAAACTGAGACGGGGGTGTGGGGGGGGTGTTGGAATTGATTAATAACAGAGATTTAAAAACAGAGGTCATGCAAGTCCTAAGCTACGCTAATTTACCACTTAGACACACAGGGATAGAATATTACAATACAAAAGACGGAAGACAATGAGACTTTTTTAGATCCAAACATTATAACCAGTTGCCCAAGCAATGAAAGTTCTAGAATCACTACTACAATGGTAGTTCTTGACCAAGTATCTGAAAATAAAGAGCTGCATTTTTTTTTTAATTTCTTCAAAATTTAACCCTTGTGTGGTGTTGATGTGTTTGTTACTCAGGGGTCTGGTGGACCCACCACATTATTGTTTTTTTAAATCAATACAGCCACAACAATTTATGGAAAAATACCAGATGTTTAATGTTGTAATATAAATGTGTGGGGGGTGAACAGAGTGAAGACGAAAATGGGTTATTTTATATGTTCTTCACAGAAAATGAGCAAAGGACACAAATCTGAGGTTCAAATAATAATAAATCACATCATTTCTTCTTTTGGTAAACACTGAAAATGGGTCCCACAGACCTGAACACCACACAAGGGTTAAGATATGTCCATAAACATATCATGCTTACCCATATGGAAAAAATATGGTCCAAATATATTTATCAAATATATGTTTTGCAATATATGAAAATCCCAAAAATGTATTTGTTAAATATATTTCTTTAATGCATTTATTTGTGTTTGTTATTACATTTTTTCACTTGTATGTGGCTTTGACAAAGGTCACAGACCTAACTAAACGGTACTGACGTCTGTGTTTTGCATTATCTACATATGTGCTTGAAACCAGCTAAATTATCTGCCAGTATAGTGAGATAATTTTGCTTAATAAAATGAACTAAACACGTGCAAAATTCTGGAAATGAATCATAACTGCATTTTCACAGCATATCAATACCTATAGCACTTGCTTTCACCATATTAAAGGATTATTTGCTAATATTTAAAATTAAGATACTGGATTACAAATTCATTTCAAAAGGTTTCCAAACAGTGAATTGTATTAGACAGTATTGTGGCTATTTTCATACATTTTCAAACATATTTCATAAAAACATTTACATACATTTGGTACATTTCTACGTGTAATATTTTCCCATACTTTTTAAATAAATGTATTTTAAAATATATCCGGTTAATAATGTAATATATTCTGAAATACATTTTAGGGTTTGGAAGGTATTTCAGCATGGACTGCAATGTATTTGAAACATATCTGAAATATATAAAACACATATCCATATCTTTTTTTTCCCATATGGGTTTGCTGTTTGGACTCAAGACGCTCACCAGTATGTAGTCGGCCCAGCGCTCACGTGCTGCCTTCAAAGCTGCCTGTCTGAGCTTCATCAGGTGGTTGAATCTGGATGGAGACCAGTGCTTCGGCCCCCATTCATCTGTGTATGACCTGCCGCAGGACAGCAGGCTTAGAGAAGACTCAAAGCAACAGCTATAATCTTTCAGGCATGTGTGGAATGTGTGTGTGTGTGTGTGTGTGTGTGTGTGTGTGTGTGTGTGTGTTTTGTGCCAGTGAGGGTCGCCTACTGAGCTTGTGCACTGTGACAAGTACACACTTCTTCAAACACACATCCTGGCATTAGTGTTTTGCAGTAATATCACTTTTAAAACATTCTAATTTAAAGCCAGAGTGCGCTGACCGGACAAACACAAACAAACACACACACTGCAATGTCCAGAAAAAAAGCTGAAAAGCTAAATGAACCAGAGTAAATGGGATTAGAACGTTCTAGATTCTTTAAACAATCAAATACAAGTACTGCAAAGTAACCAATTTTCTAGAACTTCTGCTTTAGAATGCAACTGTTCTACGCTGTAATTACTGTTCTAGAATAGGACCACTAGAATATGGCCACTGCTCTAGAAGAGTAATATGACCCAAAAATGTCACTACTGCTCTAGAACGTAACCTTATTCTGCAATGTGATCAGTCTTCTAGAATGAGACCACTGATCCAGAATATGACCACAGTTCTACATGACCACTGCTATCGAACTGATAAGGAATTCAACGTATACAGAATGTGACCACTGTTCTAGAACATGATCACCATACTGTACATGGTAAAGAATTAACAGCATCTGCAAAGTAACCAATTTTCTAGAACTTCTGCTTTAGAATGCAACTGTTCTACGCTGTAATCACTGTTCTAGAACAGGACCACTAGAACATGGCCAATGCTCTAGAACAGTAATATGACCCAAAAATGTCAGTGCTGCTCTAGAATGTAACCATTGTTCTGCAATGTGATCACTCCTCTAGAATGTGACCACTGATCCAAAATATGACCACGGTTCTACATGACCATTGCTATCAAGCTGATAAAGAATTCTGCATAGACAGAAAAACACTGTTCTAGAACATGGCTACTGCTTTAGGATGCAACTGTTACTCTAGAATGTGACCACTGTTCTATAACGTAACCACTGTAACTAATGTGATCACTGTTCTAGAACATGGCAACTCTTTTAGAATGCTACCACTGATCTAGACTGATCCGATCTAGAATGTAAACACAGTGCCAGAATGCCATTCTATAACAACATCGACATGACTTTCATTCAGTGTGGTTCTGGTTCTGTTCGTACGGACTGTCAGGTGGTCAGAGCGTCTGAGGAAGGCATGTGATGTGAAAAGGTGTGTTGTGACTGGTTCTTTAATTGTAGTATAACAATAAAGAAAAACGTCTTATTTGTTGTGTGTGAGTGCTGGTTAATGATGTTTTACCGAGGCTCCTCCATGGGCCTCCACTCCACATAGTGGTATCTGCTCTGAGCTGCTTTCAGCCACTCTCTCAGCATGGCTGTAGTGTTGTCCATGTTATGGTCTGTCGCCGCCCTGCAGGCAAAACAGAAAACACACAAATTAATGCTTCCGAAACTTCAAGTTCAGATCAGAATGTAGACATACATTAATAAACACAACACAACACAATGAATCGAATTTTTGTCGTTAACGTGATATGAGTTTCCACAATAAGCACATCGTAAAGGTTGACAGAAAGGATCCAACTACCTGACATGTTAGCTCCAAACTACCTTTATTAGCAGTACTGGCTACTGTCACACCAAACCTGTTTGTCAGGTATGAAGTAACAAAAAAAGGGTCACAGTAAAGTAATAAGATACACACATACCTTCAAACATATATTATCCTATTATTAATATTTTGCTTTGTATACCTTATAAGCCTTGCACACCTTATAAGCAGCTTATTAAGGAATTAAATACATATTTATTCATAGGCCTATATAATAATAAAAATATATATTTATTCATGTCTGTAGTCTACGTAGCCCCTAAGGGGCTGTGGTAAAAAAAAAAAGTTAATGATATTGCATTCCCCTGCAAAATATATGCTTGTCAGACAGCAAGCAAACGTAGGACCAGAGGTGCCCAGCGACATTGCCTACATTAGAGCTTTGTTTTTAGCATAGCTAACGTTAAAAGCTGTTTTGCCAGTTTCACCAGTCTGTGCTGAGTTTATTCAGCAATTTTTTGTGCAGTCTCTGTAAATGTAGCTTTTACTGTAGGAGGACACTCGAGCTCAGTTTCAGTTTGCGCTCATTAATAGCAGAATCATGTTTGATTTTGAGAAGCGACACTATGTCTTTATATTTCAATCCAAGATAAACATAAAATTCAATGAGCTGCTTCATGTCTGAGCTTAAGCAAAGCACAGCTTATGCAAGTGAATGCAAACAATTGCATCGTAATGCAAAACATTTGTGAGGGAACGCAATGTCATTAACTTTTTTTTTTTTTTAAATCACGGCCCCTTAGGGGCTCCATAGTAGCCTGATTGCAAACGTGAATAGAAAAAAACTGTTCAGGGAATCCTGACTGTTGTTAGACTGATGCACCTCATGGAGCTCACTCATGTTTCACAGGCTACAAAGTCTCCACAGGGGGGCGTCATTAACAGTCACAAAGCTTTGTTGCTTCATAAGAGCTGTGCTTCACATCAGCGACACTGTGTCCTTATTCAGTGCTCAAAAATGTGCTTGAAGTTCTGATGTAAGCAGCAAATCATTTTTCGTTAGATTTTGCTCGCCCCCTCCTTCTGTTTCTCTCTCTTTAGCTGCAGTGCTAGAGTACATTTTGCTTTTAGCACCAAATTTGCTCATGATAAGCTGCACTGTGTCAGTTTTGGAGATTTAGAGACCTCTCTGGTGGAAATGTGTAAATGCATGCAACACTCAGTAGAGCATTCTGGAATGTAGGTTGTGCTTCGGAATCCTTTCCGGGGGGATGAATCTGATGAATCATGATGATGTAAGAGAGTTGAAAGAGAATTCAAAGGGAACTCAGTCAAAACTTGGTGAAGGACATGACTTCTGAGGACATGAGTGAATTATCTTCTCCTGTCCATTATCATATCCAGACCTTCTTTTTGACCCTGTGCATGTGATATTAATATGTAATAACATATGACATGGTCTGGAGAACACACGCAAAGTCTGATTTCTAATATTATAGTATTTCAGGCTTTACAGTGCGACTCGCAGCAGCACACGCAAATCATATTTCAGCTTATTTTTTATTTCCCCTGACTCTTCAGAGTAATGTTATGTCTTTAAACTTGAACAAAAGAAGCATTAAAAAGTAAATACAGCTTTAACTACTTGCTCAAAGTTTTTGTCTTTATGTTACATGCTTCATGTCCCATGTGTCAAACACAAGGCCCGCAGGCCAAATCACGCCCGTGGCACAATCGTATTTGGCCCACAATTTAAAAAAAAATTCTATTAATATGAGTCTATTTTACTATGAGCTGCACTACATTTCCCAGCATGCACTGCAAAGTAATGTGTGCTCCCACCCCCTCCCTAACAGCGATCTACAGGACTGCACCACAAAAACAAAACAAAACAAAAAAAGATGCCAGGTGTCCAGTTCAAGTGAATAGACAGTTTTAAAAAACCTGCTGTACACTGGGGGCATTTAAAGTGGTTTTACAGTATCTGCAGCTAATGTAGACTATTATTTATATAAAACAATTTGTTTTTTATTTAAAATTATTTTGAAATCATGAGATTTTTTTGAGATATTTGTTTTTTGAGATTATTTTGAGATATTTGTGTTGTAATTTTACACGTTACGCTGGTGTAAATCATGGTTGTTATGATGATGGTGTTAAAGAGTCTTCTGTCATTATCTCAGGCCTGAGATCAGCTTGTTTGCATCGGCATTTTCAACCTGCATCTTTTTTATTATATGGTCATTTATTCCAAAGTCTTTATAGGAAAGTCTGTCCACTCTTGGCAATGCAGACAGGTATTTCTGTCATACAAGACCAGAGTCACATCTCTTTGAATGAGGAGAGACCTACAAACCTGGAAAAGAAATCTGAAATCTCTGGTAAAATTAGACAGAAATCACTGCAGAAATATTTTGTACCGTTCAATCATGCTTTTTCGGCTGGTTTGGGCTTCTTGCACATGTGCATCTCTCCTCATTGTAGAGACATAATCAGCAAGCCGACCGGCCTTTTCTATTGAGGTCATAACTCCTCCCATAAACACACGGCATGCTGAGTGTTATGAGCTCTCCTATTCATTATCCAACAAGTGAACTGTCTCCTCCTCCTTTATAATGTCTGCGCTTATTTAAAGACTGATTTTGCCTGCTTCTCTCTTCAGGTCATTTCTAGGAGGCACTTCCTTATTTCAGCCAGCAGGACAAATACAGACACATACAGACAAATATAACTACTGCACTACATTTCCCAGCATGCACTGCAAAGTAATGTGTGCTCCCACCCCCTTTTTTACAGTATCTGCAGCTAATGTAGACTATTATTTATATAAAACAATTTGTTTTTATTTAAAATTATTTTGAAATCTTTCAAGTATTCAGTGTCTTTTTCTGCCGTTGTAGTTTTGGCATGTTTTGAATAAACAACAGCTGGCCCACAGATTTGTTGAGATTTTGTAACATGGCCCTTTTAGTTGTTGAGTTTAACACCCCTGGTTTATGTGTCTATGTTTAAAGTTAAATGTCATGTAGTTCCCTGAAAGAGCAGATATGTTTGTGTGTATTTCTGCTTTAATTATCGTCTGAAAACTGCAAGATGTGTCTCACACACAAACCCAAACGCAGGTCGTGTACAGGCCGTGTACGAGCGCAGCAAGCTTGACCGTTTTAAGCTTAAATTAAAACAGGAGACGCATCACAGTGTGTGTTTTTCCAGCATCTCTACACAGCTCATTTGGTTTCTCTAGCACTCACAGTGCGACGGTGTCCTCAGCGAGGGAGTGGTCCACTGCGGAAATTTCCACAGTGCAAAAGCACGGAATGTAAAACAAACAAACGAATAAATAAATGAACAAATAAACAACATCCCCCGCCTGGAATCCCTACAAAGATCTCATGATCTTTAGTTTCATACTAATGCAAAGTGGAGTCCACTGGATGGATTCAATGTGTTGGGAATAAGCTCTAGGCCTGAGTTTGCCCCCCCCCTGCTGCAGTAACAGCCTCTACTCTTCTGGGAAGACTTTACACCAGATGTTGGAACATTGCTGTGAGGGTTTGATTAAGCATTAGTGAGGTCAGGTACTGATGTTGGATGGTCCGTTCTGGATCACAAGCTCATCCCAAAGATGTTGGATAGAGCTCCATCAACCAGGAGAACAGAGTCCCACTGCTCCACAGCCAATGGGGGGCTTTATACCCCTCTAGCTCATGACTGGCATTGGACATGGTGACCTTAGGCTCATGTCCCGAGCATTCGATTCTATTGGTCAGTGCTTTTCTATGGAGATAGAAGCCTTGTGTGCACAATCGAACACCTGCTTCAGCAATAGATGCACTTAAAAGAAGAATTTGACCAATTTTTCAAAATGTTACAGCATATTAAAAACACAAACATACAAACTTGCGTAGAGTGGGTCGGTGTGAAATGGTCCACTGCAGAGAAACTTACAGTAGAGAAAGTTCTTAGTGGTCACAATGTCCACAATGCAAACACAGCCATTTTATTTACTATCCAGAATGACCAGTATGAGTCATGAGTGTTTATATGTCATGTTGATAAAGATAAATACGAGGTTAATCTAAATCTCTCTAATCTTCTGCCTCATGAATCGATTTCAAAATTATCTTTTAGTCCAAAATCATATTTCAAAACTATCATAAATGATGTCTCAGGCATCAGGCAGCACATTCATGACATGTTCTGTCTAACAACTTTCTGTGAGGGAGCTTTTAGGCTGCGTTCACACAGCAGGTAAAAGTGGACCAAATCTGATTTTCTCACCAAATCTGATTGTTTTGTTTGGCTGTTCAGATTATCTTTTAAATGTGATCTGTATGCGACATCAGTCTGAACAGATCAGCTCCTAAACTGACCCACATGCACTAAATAACAATGCTGCACGCTGCTTCACGGCTCATCCAGAGGTAAACAATCACGACTGCCAACGAACGCCAGTCGCTCCCGGAGGATCAGCTTCATCTTCATCAGCATCACAGGAGCCATCATGAAGCTTCACTGACTGACAGCTGGGCTCGTCACCCAGAATGTGTTCAAGCTCGTCGCACAAAGGGCGCGGTCACTTCTTTGGTTCGTGTCCTCGGATTCTTTAAACGCTGCTTTCAGACTTTTAACTGTCCTTTGACGCTGCAGCCTTGTTCTCCTACGGCCACGTTTGGTCATTTCTTTCGAAATCTCTTCAAATACGGAGCAGTTTGGATGAGTCTCTTCTAACTTTTTGTATAGAAACATCAGCCTAAATGTTTATGAGATCTCAGTAGTGCGAAATTATGAAGAATGTGGAGTTGGAACGTAAAAAAAGTCACATGAATTCTGATCTGGCGGCTCAGACTGAGCCACAT